AAAACAAAACACAGTTATCAGAGTTAGTCGATTGTTCGTTTTATGTATTAGCACATGGAATTTCGTATCATTTCCCCACTCCAGTACAGCAGAAGTATCAATACATTTGAGGTTGACCCCCCCCCCCCCTCAGATTCACTGCATAATGCCGTAGTGAAACCCAAGAATAAACGTCTTCAATATTAGTGTACCTGCCCCTTGGTTTTCATATAAAGAAACCAGCTGTTTGCTTTCGCTCCTATAGACGTCAAGAGAGACATATGTTTCACACCACATTCCTTCGCTATTTCCACACATTTCATTGGGTAATCATGGTCTATGCGGTAGAAAGCTTCCTGAAGGAAACACAGAAAAAAAAACATGAATTTACAACGTGTAAGGCACATTAATAAGCGAATTCATTCGGATAAAATTGATAACATGTACGTATGGTTGCGACCTTGGAATAAATAAATAAATATGTATGCATGTCAAAGTATTGAACTGTTGTTCAATTTGTTTAAGAACGAACTATCTCTAAAGCCGTGTTTACACTACGATCCTAAGCCTCGCCTGGGCCTACCTTTGGACTAGATTTTTGTAGTGTAAACGCACTTCGGGTCTTCGGCCTGGCTTAGGTCAGGAAATCTGGAACATCTGTTCTGATAGGCCAAGATTTCCTAACCTAGGCCAGGCCGAAGTACGTTTACACTACAAAAATCTAGTCCAAAGGTAGGTCTAGGCCAGGTTTGGGCTCGTAGTGTAAACACGGCTTAGCCTCATGTTAATAATATATTTTGTGTTCAATGTCGAGACCACAGTAAGACTTTTTTAATGTGTTTATTACATCAACAGACGACGTTTTGGAGATTTACTCAATTACTTCATCTTCAGGCTAGATAAGATTACAATTAGACTAAGAAGAAAATGGAGTAAATGTCCGAAACCTCGTTCGTTGATGTAATAAACACATTAAAAAAGTCTTACTGCATGTGGTCTATACATTGAACACAAAAAATGTTGTTCATTTAACCGGGACGAGGTCAAACCGGGATGAAAATAGTATGTTCACATGAAACCGGTACAAAAATTACAAATATTTCAATTTATCCCACTTGCCCCGCCATTTTTTTTTACAATACTTTTATGAGAATGCATTGTTCCGAAGGCAAGGGCACAGCCGAGACCGATCTGAAATGTATTTGTGCCCGCCCCAAATTCATACCGGTCTGAAGATAATCGGTTCGGTCGGAATGACTTTAAACCGGTCTGCTTTGTCCCAGTCTCATGTATAAACGGGGCCCTATTTCACTCATGCATAGCGTGTAGATAAATTATCCAGGTCTAGTTCTGAGATCAGTAGTAATGAAGGCAATATATATGCATATATATAAACAGCGGCGATTTCTGTTGAACAAGTCTACATATTGACTGTAACCTGTCATATAAACTCGTGGTTCACTATGATTGAACGATTGAAATCGACGTGGAACACAACCGGTAACACACAACACCAGTTCTTGAATAAATGGACCTGACTACACGCCATTTTACAAAAGACAAGAAGCACTCCACAACAATTATAAGTACAGAATAAAAAATTGATAATATCAAGTTAGCAACATGGCGAAATCTAGTGCGACTATCATGTTTATAACGTGTGCCTTCTTGGCTTCTTGTACATTCGCAAAAGATGAAGTCGAAAACAAGGACGAAGACTCAAAGAAATCGATGGAAACTCTGGGAGCTTTCTTTAAAATGATGTCGGGCTCGGATAAAGAATGCAAGATGGACTGTCCTAAAGATTCTGTGCCTTTGCCCCGACCTGGACATGTTCCAAGCAGTAATGGCTGTGGATCTTTGGGAATAAAGCTGGACACGAGCATGTTCCCAGGCTTTGAGAAATGTTGTGATTCGCATGATAAATGTTATGATACTTGCAACGAAGATCGCGACCAATGCGATGCAGTGTTTAAAGATTGTTTGTACGCCGTTTGCGATGAGGTTAAGAAAGTAAGATCATCGGATCAAGCACAGCTCTGTGAGAATGCTGGGGGAGTGATGCACGCGGCAGCGATGGGTTTAGGATGCACGGCTTTCACACAAGCTCAGAGCAACGCGTGTGTTTGTAGCGGACAGGCGATTGAAGAAGACAGCGACACTAACAAGGATAGTAAAAGCGAATACCAAAAGGTTGAACTTTAATTAGTCGATAGTAAAATAATTGAGTGAAAAGAATATATGTAGAATTAAATATTAAATGAAATTATTTAAAATGTACTAATACGCATCTATTTATACTGTTTGTGCTTGCGTGTCTTGGCACTGCGTTCATCTTCGTTAAATTGTCGAATTCATTTTTAAAATGTTAAAGTTATTAATGCAAAAATCAAAACAAACCGTCCATGAATGCATGACTTAACAATTGATTATGCGCATATATTAAACCGTCTACTCTCAGCTACTTGTTGAGTCGAGAAATAGCCTGCGAAAAGCAGGCGTTTGTTCAGGCTGAGCCGGTCATCAAGTGGTTGAATTGCTTTCTTAATTTATCTGAAGATATAAGTTCCAGTTCTATTCATTCTACGGCCCACCCCCTCCCCAATTGGTGGGTCTGCTCACAAGAGTAAAAATCGATTACAATTAATTAGTAGGCACCAGAGAAGCATCAGACTATGCATACATTTAGTTAAGTATATTATGCGAAACAATACAGTCTATAATATGGTTGTTTAATGTATATACTTTAATGTTTTGCCTTGAAAGTCCTATGGAGACTTTGGTATTTTACTCTGTCTAACGCCAGACGATTTTAGTCATTAGCGACATTCATCCTCGACTTTTTCATCCAATTCCTTCTCGTTGCTATTCACCTGTATTAATTGTTTCAAGTGTTTTTCCCGACGTGTACAAAGCATCTTTATTTTACGCCTCGAACACGAGATTTCACTATAAGAGGGCATGAACGCTAGTTCTTGCTAGTTCTTGCTAGTTCTTGAGCTTCCTGAACATATTCCAAAGACTTTTCCACAAGTTCAATTCCGGCATCTGTCGGCATTAATTGATATTTTCTAAGGCAAAGGTCAGATTTGACCATTAATAGGCGACAGTACTTGTAAGCAAATCGTGGCGTTCCCTTTAGCTTCAGCAAAGATTGTTCTGATTCACTTATCGTGGCTGCAACGATGTCGATGTCGGAACTGGAAATCGGCACATGGTCTATTGGTCGCAAATACAATAACGCCAACGTAATGCTTATTCTCCGTCTGAGCTCTTCTCTAGCGATTTCAAAGTCATTCTCGATGTATGTTAGATGTTGAAGCGCCTTGTAGCAAAGATCTTTAGCGCGCTCAATGTGCTTATGTACTTCGAGATCCTTCGCGTTCTGGTCCTTGCTCTCGCCGATGAAGGATTCGTCGTTAACTAAATAACTGAGAACTGACGCAGCGTGGGCATAAAAAGAAGCAGGCACGAAACCAGCTGGAGCATTTTCAGCTAACGCTAAGCCCTGTTGAATTATACTCCCAGCTTTTTCATTGTCACGGCGAAAACACTCGATAGCTGACGTAAGATATCGTTCTTCAACATCAAGAATCGATTTGTCCTCAGCACTATTCGCTGTTGTTCTAAATTCATTCAGGTACTTTTCTGCGCCTTCAAAATTACCCTGGCGATAATTTATGATGACAGATTGAAAGAGATAAACCAGTTTAGCGTTCACGAGTAAATCACTCTGCTCGTTTAATATTTTCAATTTATTTTCAATTGTTTTCCATCTTCCAAGTTGTCTATAGCATTTCAAACATTGAGTTAATTCCAAGTAACTTCTTCTGCTTTTTTTCGAGCTCGAGTTGCTTCTCTCTAATTCCGACACCGGCTTTGCCACTTTATAATACACGTTTCTTTTCCAAGTGTCGAAGGGCATTTTCTTCACCTCACCGTCTTCAACATAGTAGCTTTCTGGTTCCTTGGTGAAAACACCACCAATGCAAGGGGAAACAGATATCACCATCACAAACATTGACTCGCTGTCACAAGGAACGAAATTTATATCCCACTGTTTGCCACGCTTGATTTCTTCTGGCCATATCATCTTTCGAACTTCTGCATCGAGCTTCTTCGTTATCTCCTCCTTCTCCGGATCAGACAACGGTACTCCATCAACAGTACCGTCGTCCTTGATCCCGTAAAAGATGTTTCCACCCGAGGCATTGGCAAAGCTAGATATTGTACTAGTGAACTTATTGTTAATAACTCGATCAGCAAAGTCCGTTTTCCCTTTTTTTTCTGTTTTAAGACATTTGAATTGGACAGTCTTCGATTCACGAATACCACATTTACTACCCGAGGAAAACTGTTCAGGCAATGTCTGTTCTGAAATCTCCACAATACACCGTTCGAACAATATGTGTTTTAGGGTATTTTGCTCCGTAGCAGGAAACAATTGTATTTCTGTATTTGTTGGCAAAAATAAATTGGTAGTCAAAGTACACAATTTCGGTAGACGTTGTATGTCTAATGTAATCTTATTGTTCGTTTGTTCCACGACATCAAACTTGTAGTGTACGCCGGAGCCAATTATGTTTTTAAATTGCTGCTCAATAGGACGAACGACAATGTCAGCATTAATCGTGTTGTCGTCCGTGGCATCGTTCGCTATTAACACAAGCCTCCCACCGTCAGTGTTTAAGAGAGCACATACATTTTTCTTGATTTCTGTAAGTGTAGTATCTCTTCCTTTCTTAGTTTCAAAATTTTTCAGAGAAAACTCGATTTTTAAATCGACTTCTACGACGTTCTCCGCCATCTCAGTTGGATTATGTGAACAACGTAATTCTTTCGATTTTCATTCTAAAAATACCTTCCTACAGCTTCTTCCACGTAATCTTGAATGTGTATGACAAATTATGATAATTTTTTGTGTTGGTGTTATTGTACTCAGGTGAATATGATGTTTGTGATGTTACTCTGAGTGTATATCCACACGGGGCAAGCTTGAAAAATATGCCTGGCCACGGTGGGAATCGAACCTACGACCTTTGGAATACTAACCCAATGCTCTGCCAACTGAGCTACGCTGCCAGGTCGGTTCGAGTATGTGATATTTCGGAACTGAGTCTAGTTCCTTCGATATCATGCAATGCAATTATTATTATTAAAACTTTATTTAGGCACGGTATTACTCATCAGGATTTACATAATATACATTAACTAAACTATATTACAAAAACTACAATGATTACAAAGTTAACTCTACACCTGCTTTTCATAAGGGCCGTGTATTAAAAATAGCCATTTAATCATGATTTTTTGTGTTGATTACTAGATTGCATTAATATCGAAGGAACTAGACTCAGTTCCGAAATATCACATACTCGAACCGACCAGACCGCGTAGCTCAGTTGGCAGAGCATTGGGCTAGTATTCCAAAGGTCGTAGGTTCGATTGCCCGGTGTGGATATGCACTCATGCAGAGTCACATCACACACATCAAATTATGATAAATGTGACAACTTTCATATTTACGATGTTATTTCACGTGGCGATGAGACAGCAAAAATTTAAACATTCCTACGATACCATGAGTTGTCAGTTGCAATGGATACGAGACGTTTTAAGCCCATAAAATGTGGACGTTCTCATCAAACAATAGCAAAAGTGAGTTTGGCAACCAACAACGGCGACGACAGAAAACAAAATTACTTATATTTTTGTATTAGAGCAAAACATACATCACTAAACTTCTAAAAGCACTTATCTTTCTTTTAAACAACCCTGGAATTCCCTGAAGTAACAATAGTAAGTGAATTCACATAAAACACCGCAAACGACTTGAACGTTTTACTCTTTTGGTCATGAGCCGTGAAAATGATGTAAATAACGTAGCAGTCTGAACAACATATTTTTCAGATCAGCATGATCTACAACGCCAAGAGCAAACTTGTGTTCTATTTTAATACTTGTATTATATTGTTTTGTACTCACTTATTTTTCAATTGAATAGATAACAGCTCAATTGTAAAAAAGACTTATATAATGATGATTTAATTAACTCCTTCATTATCGAAGGTATTTATATTGCTATTAATGAACAATGTTTTTGTCTGTAAAGTGATATGGGGCAGGGGTGCAGGGTCTTCTCTACCTCTTTTCGTTTGGCCCTTTCATTAATTCTTTCATTACGATTTGCGAGTCAACGTTATGCGAGAGGCAAAACGGGTTATTATTATTTGGCCGATCAACGCAATTTTTGAGGGCCGAAAGGTATTCCGGCTCACCTTTATAAAATATTGGGGGGCCCGCTGTCCCCATGCTTCCTACGCCCCTGGATATGACTGATATGGGTGTTCATGGGTTGGCATTTTTTAGCATTTCGTGTTACTTGGATGTATATGAATCTCCATTGCTGTCCCACAAACAATATGCCAACGGCAAATGCTTTTAAATATTTAGTATTTAGTGATTCACCATTCAGATTGTTGCACTGTCACTCATGAGCTGTAGTATAGTGAAACACGCATGAATGTCTTAATTTATTGAAAATGTCAGTATTTAAAAATTGATCACAAAGCGTACTACTTGTGCTCCCTTGGATGAAAGTTCAAAGACAAAGGCAAGCTGTTTTTAACTCAACAACAAAATTGCCCGGGCAGCGGGATAAGATTTTCTCGCATACAAGCACAAGAAAAATTCATTCCGCCTACCGGGCTGTCGCGATAGGTGGGCCAGTCCGACTTCGATACAAACAGCCCAAATTTTATAAAAGTGCTAATTACTTCAACAAACGCACATTAAATCATATACACAAAGCTAAATGCTGCTCTTTTTATTCATTTCAATATTTCATAAGCAACTTTCAAATGGATTTTGAAAACCATCCAGCCATAACAATCTTACTAGTATAAATAAGAAACGGCGATTTTGGTGATTTATATTGTATATTGTCAACTAAAACTATCAATAGTACCAGTTCGATTGTTATATTATAGCACTGACAAGTCTGGTTATATTTCAATACAAAACTTGCTACGAATAAAAGCATCTTGCTTTGCTCTCAAGATTTGAGTTTAAAACAGTAAGTCACTTAAGGTACCAATGGCCCATAAAAGAGTTCGGAAAATTCATTCTCTTCGAATTTATGCAAATATCCGAACGCTACTTCGAGGAATTCTGCGCGACTTATTTTCCCATCTTGATTGGTATCAATCAAATTGAAACACTTGACTTTGTCTTCATCGGAAAGATCAGGCGCAAGCACCCGAGTGTAGGTTTTGTATTCTTCCAAGGAAATGTGGTCATCTCGGTCTAAATCCATAGCGTCAAAGACGACGTTGTAAAAATTATCGCACATTGCTCTTTGTTCTTTCCAAGACAATTTCAACATGGCTTCATTCATATTCTTTGCCGCTTCGTCTCTGGAAAGTTTCATTCCTGGTGTAAACCCGAAGGTATCGGCGACATGCATAAATATTTGACGACATGATTCAGCTTGTTCGCCAGTGGCGTTGCTCAATTCGTTCATTTTCTTTGCCATAAGTTCGAAATCTTCTTTGGCCATGTATCCATCTTTGTCAACATCGAAACGAGCGAACTTTGTCCTTAACTTTCGTAAGCGAAAAGCAATCTGAGAGTCGGTTGGATCCATCATGGCTTGTCGTTAAACCCGCCGCACACTAGAGATATCAGCTCAGCAAAATTTCGATCGTGATTGATGGCGTGAGCAAGTTCCCCCAGTGTGCGGTGGAACTGTTTTGAGCGCTATTGTTCACGCGCGCCATAGGCGCCGTATGTTCAACATGTTGAATAATTGAGTGTCCCTATATGTCGTGTGTCGTGGGTTAAAAGTCGTGTGTCGTGGGTAAAGTCGTGGGTAAAGTCGTGGGTCATAAAATGTGCTAAAAACGCATTTTTTCACGAAGATATTATTTTTATTTTTAATAT